CTCAAATTTCAAATGATTTTCAACTGTCGCTTTGTCGCGTCCAGTGTAGACAGACTTTAGCTGTTGCAGCGCAGCGCGACAACTGTCACATCCGGTGTAGATACGGTGTCACCTATCGAGAAGAAACAAAGCAACCGCGGCGTCCGATCGCAGGCCTTCCCGCTCCTTTTACGATCCGATATTTACACGGGTCCTACTTTTTGCCTTATCGTAAGCCTTCTTTTGTTCTGCAGACGTTTTCCTCTTTTGTTTTCATTTTTGTCCTCTCAGATTCACATGCTGAGAGGCTGCTGTGCTTTAGTCGTTAGGCTGTTTGTTCTCTTGTAAAAGTTGTCTATAAATCCATCCCATCTAAAGCACCGCCTCAACAGCCATACACATCGAGGCAGTTTCAGATGCCATGGCAAGTTAATAGTAGTCCGACTTTTAAAACCGAGACTCCTCTTCCAATCCATTGCACTTGATAGCTGGTGTGTGGTGGGCGTTCTGACGCACTATAGCTAATGCTGCATCATCTTCTAATGTCAGTTATGCTACATCTTTCTGTCTTTGGGCACAGTAATGTGTTCTGTGTGCACAGTATGTCTTCAACAAACATTCAACCATATTAACTGTCAGTGTTGGGGAGCTTCTTTGAAACTGCAGACTGTCAGGCTACAAGCATCTCATAATTAATGGACTGTAGTTTAAAGTAGTTAAACATTTTATACACAAGTAGTTAGTAAACTAATAAAAATATATCTCTATAATGAAGCTATTTTAGCAGACAATGAGTTTCATACACTAACTTTGTTTACGTGTAAAAATTGCATACGAAAGTGTAACACTTTATTTTAAGGACCAATTCTCAATTTTTAATAGTTGCTTATTAGCATGCATATTACTAGCATATTGGCTGTTTATTAGTACTTATTAGACTATTAATTAAATAAGTAGTTATTAGACTATTAGTAGTTATTAGACTTCCCCTATATCTAAACTTAACAACTACCATACTAACTATGAATATGCAGCAAATTAGGAGTTTATTGAGGCAAAAGTCGTAGTTAATCGTTAGTTAATATTGAGAACTGGTCCCTAAACTAAAGTGTGACTGAAAGGCTTCATGCAGAAATCATGATTCATGAGTAGGTTGCACTAAAATGTATTCTTAACCAACTGAAATTACATCTATACAAAAATCACATTTACACTGGTCTTAGAAATAAGATAAGCCAGTTATTTTTATTAATTTTTAAAAATATTTTTACATTTTTTAAATTAAATATATAGTATAAGAAATCGAAACTAAGTGACTCTACAAAAGTATTTGTTATTTTAATAATAATAATAATAATGTATTTTTATTTTAATAATTATTAATCATAATCATTTCTGAGCAACAATAAAAATAGCACAAAAAGTAGCAACAAATTAAAAAATCTGAGCTGCTGGCAGGTAAACAAAAAACGTAGTAAAGTTAGTCGTTACATAATTTTAGTTCTATATTCCCCAACACTGCTAGTTATTAGGTGCTTTAGGATCCCAAACCAACAGGTTTTTATGCAGTTTGCTTTGTGTTACTAATGCTGCTCTTCTGTCTTCTCCTTTAGGCGCTCAAGAAAGCCAGTAACATTATCTCAGAGATCCGGGAGACTCATCTTTGGTAGCCAAACGTTCTCATGAACATTCTGTCCAGGAAAGTGTTTACATGTTTGTGCGTGCTGTATGTGTGAGTGTGTGACATAAGTCAAATACACCATCTGAAGAAATTCAATGCCTCTGTCAGCATGAACATTCAACAAAATGTGTACAGTTTTCCAAATGCTCCTTATTTCTACCGTATATGCACTGAATCCATGTTTGACAGAGGTCAAAAGTGTGTGCGTGTGCGTGCGCGCGTGCGTGCATGCGTGTGTGTGTGTGTGTGTACTCAGTAGCTCAGATATAGTGAACATATCAAGTCTGTGTCGTGATCTTCAACCATATCAATCATAAACGTTTCGAAATGGTTTTTCGCCATTATGACGAATACTCTTTAATTCAACATTATAAGAATTAAGTAGTGTCTCAAATGCTACTGAGAGCATCCCAAGAACACTCGAGCTCTCATACGCTCACGTGGTTGATAACATGAATCACACAACAATGAACAATTTAATTTTTTCATCATTTACTCAATGCCATTCCAAACCATGTGATATTATAGAAAATGTTCACACTGATTTTTTTCCATTCAGTGAAAACATTAAAGGCTTTCAAGCTGTGAAATGGACTAAAAAGCATCATAAATGTACCATAAATCATCATAAAAGTAGTCAATGCGACTCATTCATTACTGTAGTTTTATGTCAGGAACAGACTGAAAGTGGAATGACATGACGATGAGTAATTGGCAGATTTAAGTGAACTGTTCCATTAATGTGCTGTAAATATCATATAATAAATGTGGTGTCCAGGTTTACAGTAAATATAAGAAACAAAGACCCGCCCCTTCATTAGATTCGATCAGATTTGTGCATGTTGGCACAGTTGTATGCTACATATAAGCTTAAGTTATCACAGCCAATATGGGCTAAAAACAAAAGCAGTGATAATATATTGATAATGTGAATGAGATTATGATGATACATTTAGAAGAATTAATGATGTAACGCGTGACTGATGTCTAGACATGGTGCAAATAAATGGTAGTGCAGTGTGAAGAGCCACAGAACAAAGAGCCATTGTGTTTGGTTGTGCTCTGAAACACTTCAAACCACGCTTGTATGTATCGGAGACTTGACTGGCATGTAATATTTATGCTTGTCTGAATATTTATTGTGAGAGTGAGTATGCCTGTGTCAAAGAAGGTCAAATGGGACAGAACAAAGATATGAAAACAATGGCTGTTTGAAACATTGAACACCAAGAATGAATGGTGTTTAGTGTCAGATACCAACCGTGCAAAATTAACAGCCAGCACAAATGTGGCCATTGGGGCTGTAGAGAATTCGGTAGTTGTTGTATTGCCTGCTAAAACCAATATTAATGTGTGTGGGTGTTTATGTTGGGGACAATGTTGCATATTTTTAAATTGATTTCTTGTGATGGGACACATTATGCTTCTCTAGCAACCAATTAATCATAAAAAATAGAGGTGCCAGGAAGACCAAGAGAAGGGGAATTATTAACAAACATTTATATACATTGTCAAAAAGTAATAAGCATGTATTTCTTGTTGACCTTAAACTTTATACCGTTAAATTGTGTCCTGCCTCAT